TTGTTTTCCTTGCCCACTAAAATATAAGAGCAACTGCTTTATCTACCTTGTTCACCGCCAGCTAGGGTGACGAGCACACAGTGCCGACACACAGGAGGCACCTGGTAGGCAGCTAATGTCTGGTTGATTAATAAAATGCTCTTTTCCAGTCCAACGTAGAGCACCTGACGGAGAAAATGAAGACCACCATTCAGAGGGGTCTGGTGCTCAGGTAATTGGAAACTATATCATTCTACTCTAATTTTAGACCTGGGTTACTTGAATCTATCTCACCATCTGAGGTCCAATACGCAATCGTTCCTTGGCTCGTTAGTCGCATATGAAATGCACCTGGGGATACAATAATTGTGTTAAAAACTTGCATGTTTAAATAATCAAAGGATTCAATTTTTTGTTTAATTTTGGCCTTTAAGTCCTTTTTTTTTTTTTTTAAGCTCTCTCCAAATATTTTCTTTAATTAAACCTCTAAGCTTTATAAAGAAAGACAGTGGTAATGTCACCTAAAGGGACGGTGGAATTCTGAGGGCCTGCCTGAAGGTATGTCAGGAAACGAGTGGCTTGCCCCATGAGCTGAGGCGGCCTCTCTCTCGAGCACTCAGCAGACCCTTTGGGGCAGAGATGTCATAAAAACCCACAGCTATGCTCTGTGCTGAGCACATGACTGCTTCCCGCTTCGTTGTAGAAATGAGAACTGCAGTGAGAATTACACCACTGACTTCATCTGCCAGCTTTATTCAGAAGAAGGAAAAGGCGTGTTTGACTGCAGAAAGAATGTGCTGGGCCACATGCAGCAGGTACGGTGACTGTAGTACTATGGTTGCCAATTGCTGCCATGCCAGCACCAACTCCTGGCAGCTTCTCGGGAATGGGATTCTATCATTGGGATCCACGGGGCATGCGCTGGCTGATTTTTAGAAGTAGAGCATCAGACCTTGATTCCTAGTCTGTGTTAGTCTGGAAGCTCTGCTAACACCTGTTCAGCCTCGTACCGAAACATGTCTCCATTGACAGACTGGTGGCAGCAGCGCACGAGGTGCACAGACTGAATCAAACCCAGTTCTCCTGCGTGGAAGGGTAGAATTCTACTAGGGAACCACCACTGCCCTGTCCCACCCTAATTCCCATGTAACCCATCTCTGGTGCAACAAAGCAGAAAATAAGACGTTTGATTTACATATTTTTT